GGGGGGGGGGGGGGGGGGGGGGGGGGGGGGGGGGGGGAAGCCTTCTTAATGCGGTGAAAGCACCCGTGGCACTGGTGAGACGCGCTTTTCTTGTCGGTGAAGGTACCACGAAGGAGGGACTCCCATAGCAGCTTGACGGAGCCGGGCGAGGGGAAGAGCCGTGCCGAGCCCACCGGGGAGGGGAACCGGTCGATCAGGTAGGCGGCCAAGGCGGCCGGGGAAGCTCTGGGGTGGGGGCTGAGCCGAACGCGAGCCCTTCCCTGCCCGCCGCGCCGGGGGCCGCGGTCACCGCCGCGCCGGCATCACCCGCCCCCGGCCCGGGCCCGCGGAGCCAGCGCCCCCGCGGGGCAGCACCGGCGGCCGCGGGGCTCCTGCCGGGGCCGCAGCCTGCAGGTAGGGGCTCTGCGGGGCCGCGGGGCTCGTCCCGGGAAAAGCGAGGAGGGAGACGGGGAGCGACCCCGCGGGGAGCGCGGACCGGGGGCGCGGAGCGGGGCGGGCAGCGCGGGTGGCAGCGCTCCGGTGGGGCTTCAGCCGGGTCGCTCCCACGCCCCGCCTTGGAACTGCGGAAACATTGGAAAATAAATAAAAATCATTCTAAATGCCACTGTTAAATTAAGAAACTGTATATATGTGGATACATATATATATATAAACTGTTGGTCAGGTGAGATGCTGGTCAGTTAAAGAGCGTTTCAAGTTGCTAGAGGGTATGAGGAAACTCAGTCATCTTTTATTTCTGGTGCATAAACAGAATAAATGTACCTGTTCAGAGGCGGGTGTGAGAAGCTGTGCTGTGCCTCGTCGCCGTCTCCGTGTGTGCGGACTAGAGGCTGTCACCGGGACCCCCGTGGCTGTGCGTGTGTGCGAGCGGTTCCCAAAAGAGCTCCAAAAACCCAGGCGCAGACTGCTCAGTGACAGGCTAGAGAGCTGGCCTGTGGCCTTCCCCAGGAATAGTCAGCTGTGGAAGTAGTTAATTACAGTGATCCTTCTCCTGAATGGCCTTGATATTTCTTCTGGGATATTAATATAGTTCGTTTCCAGGAGAATTCTTAGTCCCTTGTAGGACTTAGCCAGGTGTGCAGTAATAGGCTCAGGCTAAATGGTATTGTTGGCATGTCTTGCAGGAAATTTTGTTTTCACAGGCTAAGTTCAGGGAAACTATCCAATGAAAAAAAAAAAGCCCAAAGATACGAGTATTATCCTTATTTAGAACTTTCTGATAATTTGCCATTCATTTATTGACCTGTTCTGTTTAATATCTCTAGGAGTAAGTCGTTAATTAGGTATTTGGGATGAATTTGGGTTTGTGTGATTTCTGACTGAAATGATTTCATTAAGTTAACAAGCTGGTTGGGGCAGTGAGTATGTTTGTTGTTGTTAGTCTGCTCCTGTAGTGGCAATGAGGAAACGTTTCCGTTAGTGCTGGGAAACAGGAGGATAACTTGGAACTTAATGAAGTGAAACAGGATTGCATTTTGCTCAGAGTGATCCTATTATGCCTCAGTTAGGGCCATGTTATTGCTCACCTCAAATCGTTAGCTGTTACTGTCTTTTCACATTGTTTTTTTTAGCTATACGTGGGCCATTATGTGGTTTTTTGTTTTATATTTTTTCAGTTGTATTATTTTTAGTTTTTAGTTTTCCATCTTTTACAGCAGTGTAAGAGAAGCTCTATTTTAATGGAAGGTTTCTCTGGGCTTAGAGGTTTCCATGTTAATGCCTTTAAAATTCAGTGGTTAACTTCTGCCTTAACCTCAAGCTGAAAAGTGACAATGAAAGATAGTATAGGACAGTGTGTAATTTCATTTTACAAAGTTTTATCAGAATTGATTCAACTGATATGTAAACAGGGGAAACCTCAGGAACTTTCTTTTCCCCCCAGCGTGCACATTCAGTTCAGTTTCAGGCTGTACACTGTTTACCTGACAAGTGGCTTGCTACGGGATGTCTCCTGACTAATTGGATTTGCTGAGTTGGTTCCTGTCTGAAACTGTGAGGAAGGGGACTAGGACACCCCCAGGGATCCCTTCCAGATCTGTATTCCCAGGCCAGGGTCCTACAGACCGGGCACAGAGGGGGAAGATTTTTCAGATGTTTTGGTGCAAACACAATTGCTTCCCGAGGGAGAAATTTGGCATGTTTCCTGAGAGAACTGTGCTTGTGTAAGCAGCCCCCTGCCACCCTCTGAGCTGTGCTAGTACAACCATTTGTGGGGCTGGTGGTAAATTGCATTGGGGGAACTGCAGTGGGTTCAAAAGCACCTTTTCTTCCTTTTTATCAATTACTTTTAACTCTGAATTGTCTGACTGTGTGGCTGCTGTGTCAGGGCTGAGAAGGTGGCCTGGAAGGAGGGAACATGTGGCAGGGAGCAGGAGGTAAGTGCTGTTTCTGCCAGCATCACTGCTGCTGAAAGAAGTGATTGCTTATCAAATTGTGGTCACTGGGAGATGACATATGGTTAAGGCAGTTGCCTGAAAAACATAGCTGAGTGCTCAGATATCTCAGTTGTGTGCACATGCAGTTGGCTGTATACACAAAGATCTGATTCTATATTTCTGTTGTAATTCTGAGTTTTCACCTAATGATTTTACTTTTGTGATGTATAGCTGTATGTGTAACTTCAGGATACATTCCCTATACTATTCTCTCTTGTAGTATGAGCATTTCAAAAGACTGTTTTTCTGGAAAATAGACCTAGGCATCATAAGGCTATGAGTTTTATTAATCAGATTATATTTACCTGGATAGGTGAATGCCTAAAATTCTAAAGAGGAAGATTAAACCTAGACCCCTAAAAGAGTGCCTCTGGTCCTAGAGAGCATAATTGTCAGCTGTACTCTCTTTTAGATGTACGTAAAATGTTAAATATACTTTTGAATGTAGTGCAGACCTGCTGTGAAATTATGAATGACAGAAATGATTAGGCGAATAGCACTTTTAATTGGTATGGTGAGACTGTCAATGGAGTGTAACCTTGCTATAATCTGCTATAATTTATTTTAGTCTGGAAAGCACTGATGCTTTTATGCATTGTTTTAGGACTCGTTCTCATTCCTACTTTAGACAATTTCTTTCTGTCATGATCCTATTGTAGCGAGTTAAGAAAACATTCACAACACCTTGTCTATGTAGCACATGTGCATATTTAGAGAATGGTGGTGCACTTTCTTGTTCGCAGAACTTGAAGGACTAATTAGTTTCTATGATGGTCTTTATTCAACAGAGAAAAATCATAGGCCTTTTTTCTTCCAACCTAAACCAAGAAACTGTATGGGAGTTAAGAAAAATATCTTACCTTTACTGATTGTTCTGTGGTAGGTCACTACAACTGCAGTTTGGATTATCTGTAGAGTCTCATGTAGATTTAAAAAAACAGATTAAAAATTAAAAATCTTCATTTTATCGGTTTTTTCTAAGAGGAAAGGTGTTTCTTGCCAGTAGCCTTATGAGAGCCAAATACATATTTTATGAGCTATATTGTTGCTTTTATTAATTGACATACATTGATGTGACTGAGCAGTAAAACTGCAAGCTACAGCTTGCTTGCAGGAGGTGGGCTCCCAACCTGCAGTATGGAGAGATTTGGAAAGGTACAATTTTTAAAAACCAAAACTGTAGACATCCAAGCTAATAACTCAGTTTTTCTTCACTGACAAAGAAGGCGTTTCCTATTCAGCTTATTGAACTGCGAAGATAGTTTTGTTTTCCTCTCTGGAAGCTGTCTGAACTTGCTGTGATGTGGGATGTGGAAGGATAGCATACCGAGTCAGCTGCTCTGGATGAGCATACACAGGTGAGGACTGTCTTTTACTGGATTGGCTCCTTGTCTCTCTTAGGCTTGTGGGACTCTGGATATATCTACATACAGGGCAAGCTGTGATCTTCCAAATATAAAATCTTTGTTGTTCAGGTGCCTTATCCTCCTGTTTTTGGAAGAAGCATTCTCCATTTTCAGTACTGGAAAGTGGGTGGTGCTGTATGCCCAGCTGCTCAGATGACACCTGTCTGGCATGATCATGGACACCATGGTAGCACAGCTCAGGAGCCCACAGAATTCAGGTATAGCCAGAAGGCACTTAAGTATCTTTCCTTACACTGTAAAAGCAAAATCCATCATTTCTGTCTCCACAGCATTTTAAGCTGTGCAGGTCCCTGAGGCAACAGATCAGCATTTCAGCAGCAAGATGACTTATTAGTTGTTAAGATTAGACAGCAATTTGTGGCAGATTTCTTCCCCAGAGCCTGCAGCAGCTGGGAATTGTAGAACTGGCTTGAGGGGATGTGACAATATATTTTATTAGTGAGTTAGGTTGATCTTAGTCTTCATTAGTGAAACTCTATTGGTTCCTTTGCATATAGTACAAATGCTACTGGATAGTTGTTCCTCAGCTGCAGTTCAGTGTTGGAGAACTACAGGTTATCCACAAACTAGGATATTCTTGCTTTTCCTTGGGACTTAAAATGAATGAAACAGCACTTTTTGTTGGTATTTGGTTTAGATGTCATATTTAATAGTTTCTCCTTGTTTCATTTGATGGGCTAATGGAGTGAGAAGGCAGTAAATTAAGCAGTCTTTAGTGTTTGCTTTTAGACAGTATCACCTGTTTTCCATGGAAGGATTGTTGGTCTCTTTTTTTTCCGTTTCTGATGTTTTATTGTAAGATGATTTTGTGGGCTTTAGTGTGAATGCTGTCTCAGAGCAGTATGTAAATAACAGAGAAGAATGAAGCAACTGTGTTTTTTTATGTGTGTTTTATGTCTTATCTATGTGGGGGATGTACACCCACATTTATATGCACCAGGATTACATAGGCTTACATTTTGCATCAACTTGCAAGTTGCTAACGCATTTAAGTGAATAGGATTAAAAATTAATGTAAAAACAAGGCATCTGAGATAATCTAGGCTTCTTTTACTATTAAATTTTTTTTTTAACTTTTCTGGTTGTCACTAGAATCTATTCAATTTCTAGGGAATATTGTCCTTGAATGCTTTTTGAATGGTAAGTGCATTAGTTGCTGCCAGAGGATTGTCCTAAGCATCCAGAATTAATGATAATGGGCAGTCCTAGACCATATGTAGATATTTATTTGTAATGCACATTATCGTTCTTTTAACTTATTAGCAGGTAATTTATGGAGAACCAATTTGTCAACCTTTTCCTTCCAACTCTCCAAGCTTTTTGTGCAATCTGTGAGTGTCTGAGAATTACAAATTTTCCTTCTGCTAGATGAGAGCTGACCTGTCCTTGTCAAGAGAAATGTCTCTTCTGGTCTTGCCATTTGGTAATACTGTCAAAATTGTACCCATATCTTGCCAAGAGGCATGACCAAACTTCTGGGATTCCTCAGCTATCACAGTTTGCCAGTCTACTTGCCTACATACACCATTTATACTTCATTTCTTCTGGGATAGCAATGTATCTCATGTTTGGAAGCTTCTCTTAAATTCATTTAAAAGATTAGGTAAGAGTGCAGATGAAAATATGGTAAAAGAAATTTCAGTTCTTCATTACAAAGTCAGATAGGAGACAAATAGAAAAAGAAAACGTTTTATTGGGATATTTAAAAAATCAAAGTCATTTCCCAGCCATTGCAGAAGATCCTAGAGGCAAGTTTTGAGTACAAAAGCAGAGATGATGTTTTAGCTAGCAACCACCAAACTCTTGCATCCCCTTTTCTGAATAAGACCTAAAAGTATTTTTGAAGTTGGGAACTCAGCTCCCTGTCTTCAATCCTCACCAGGACAGTGCTGACCTCTTTCTCTCCCTTTGTTCAAGACAGGAAGTCTCCCATCTTTCACTTCCCTCCCCTCCCCCCCAACTCAAAACTTCCTTCCTTCCTGCAATTTCTGGATTTCTCCCAGTGATGGTGGGATGATTCACATTTCCCAGATGTGAAATGTCAATGTGGGAAGTGGGATCTTTCCCCTGCCTCTCTAGGGGTTTCTCAGAGTCTGTGCTGCTGTAGAGTTTCTTAATTAACATGTTTCTCCTGACTCAGATGGTTTTCCTGATGGCCACAGAGTTTTGGGGGCTGTTACAGTACTTAATGAGTCACGTCTTAGAGTGTTCATTGTAAATGCATCTTAAACTTGGGTGGCTTTGAGAGCTTCTTGAAGACCACACAAAAGTTATTAATTTAGTCTGTAGACATAGTCAAATACCTTCTCCTCCTCCTGTCTGTTTTAGGGCTTGTCTTTTCAAGTTGTCATGTTTCAATATCAAGCTCTTTTGACAGAGGGGTGTTTAGAACTTGGTCACGCAACTGCTGATTGGTGCACAGTTGAGAAGGTGGTAGTACAGGGCTGTGCTGCTTGTCTGTGGTCACTGTCCTGGCTCCTCTCTGCTCTGTGTTCATTTGCTGATACTGCAATGGACTGTGAATTCCATATTTGCATTACTCCTGTGCCTTCCCCAAAGTACCAGAGTATTTGGTTTGGTAATTTCTTGACTTTGTGTTTATTCCTCTCCTCCAGAATCCCCTGTAATCAGCCCTTCAAGCTCATCACCTTTATTTCCCCATAAAAGTCACTAAAATATCAGGGAAAGGAGGAGTTAAAATAGGAAGAGTCAAAACCAAAATGGTTCCATGTTCAAGGCATGTACCAGCTTCACCTTTCTGTCACTGAAATGCTGCATCCAGTCTCTCAGCTATTGAGCTTGAAATTTCCTGGGCCGGGGGCATCACACTCAGCCTTGCCTATACAGATGTGCCTTGGTGTCAGTGTTCAGTAATTATCCACAGTTGCTTTTCGAATGTGTTGCAGCACTGAATTTGGTGGGAATAGAGGCTTCCCTTTTCATCATATGGGCTAACTGCTGTGAGTTGGCCCTTAAAGAATTGATTTGATGTGCTGTTGCCGTTTGAATGTGCTGTTGTTGTTACACTTCTCATTAGCAGCAACATTTCTGGTGGTTCACATTCTTTTTTTTTTTTTTTTTAAACATTGCAGCCTTCCAGATACACTCCTGTCAGTTTGGATAACAAGCCACTGCCTATCTGTTCTCACCATGATTGTGTCCTGTGCTGCCACATGTTCCTGGAGAGTTCTCTCACTATTGATTGTATATCTTGGCAACTCTGCATTCATGCAAACATTCCCTTAAGTTACACTTTTTTACGTAAAACCTTGAAAGCTACACTACCTCACCTGCTTAATCTAACAAGCCAAAACTACTTGTTTCAGTTAAAGGAAGATATTTGGGAAGCTTCTTCATAAAATACCCTCTGTTTGTTGACTTCCTTTTTCTCTCTTTCTAAACTTCTGTAATAACATTTATTTACTTAATCTGAATGGTCCTTGGGGCAGCGTGATACCACCAGCAGCAAGCCAAAGTGCATTTTTTGAAGGGATTGAAAAAGTTCTCTTGTGG